ATTTAATAACAGTTAAAAAAAAAAAAATGGATTAATTGAAAGGATCATTGGTCGGAAACTCGTTTCTAAAAATAGCTCGGTGTTGCACTCATATTTTGCTTCCACTGCTCCACACACCATTAATTGAACAGAATCAACTGAAATTTTAAAGACGGTATCTGTTTTTTGTGGCATGCGGCGCTTGTTTCGCAGTCGTAACATAGCATAGCGCGACCAAGTTCGCCTAAGTCAAGCATAGAAGAAAGCGCCGTGATAATGACTAATGAGCAGTCAGCGGGAGAAAGAAACCATGTGCTGTTATTGTAGAAAGTAGCTTTATCGCGAAGGCTTTGAGTCATATCTAAACGATGCACCAGCTAATTATCTGGTGAAAGCCGTTTCCTTACTTGTGGTTGAGGAATGATCTTTTCGAACAGATGTTAGACAGTACACTGACTTGTCTTCCGTTCGGCCCGATGCAAAGGTCGTTTCTGGAGCTGTCTCATCGAGCAATTTGTCTCTGGACAGCATGTAGTGAAGTGACATAACACCGGAATAATCTGGGATATTTGGTCCAGAAGTCGATGGGGGGTGCCCCTAAACTGCTGGAAGTCAATGAGAAATGTCGACTCGATCATGAACGATAATTCAACCGGCGACTTTGTTCTTGCTGTCGCGTTGACGTTTCCAACTGTTGCCCTCCCCCGAGCGTGAGCCGCCGACATGCCACACAAGCCTCGGCTCTCCGTTTTTTTTGCCTTTTTATTGTCCTACATCTGCAGCTGCCCCTTCCACTTCAAAAGCAGACAATCAGGCAGGCGCTAGCAGAGACCCCGAGTTTATCAGTGCCGCCTAACACTTTTTCCCACAGGTGTCACGCAAAAAAAAAAAAAAAAAGAAAAATTACAAAAATGAGACAACCGTTTGAGAAATCACATCCCGGGCAACAAAACGGGACGTTACGTGAGCGCGGTTGACTTGCGCTGCACCTCATGTGTGTCCAGCAAACGTCTCCTGTATGATGGTTTCCTCATCAGACGTCCCACAGAGGAGCATCCAACTGTATATCACGCCGCGTGCGCGCTTGCCAGAGGGTTCGCGGATGTCATGTCGCGGAGATGAAAGAGCTTTGAAGATAGACGCGAATATGAATCTCCACGGAAAACTGTTGAACATCTGCGTCGAGAAGGTACGGCGGCGTGACGGCACCCCGCGTCTTCATTACGCCGGTGCACAGTGCGGTCCTTCATACACATCTGGCTTAGCGATAAGTGTTTCTGTAAGTCTTCTCGGCGAAGGGAGAATTTGTTTAATTTACTTGGCAAGGATGGACCTGTGTTGAGGTAAAATTTTTTTTTTTAACGGAGCAACCTCATTCCTGCTGTTCTCTCTGCCGATGACGGGATGAATGACAGGCTTTCCTCAGGCACCGCGTTGGGCCAAATTTGGCAAGGTGAAGCGGGTAAAGCCAGATAACGCAAACGTTGTTTACGCAGTCTATTTCCGTATAGGCGGCTAAGATATCGCGCAGAGTCCGTGAAAAAGTCCCGTTTGGAGACTTGAGTTAAATTCAAGGCTTTCCTGAAATAAAGGCCGGTTGACGAAAATGTGTGATGAAGTCTCCTGTCAAACACGGCGCATGTTTGAATATTCTTGAATGCAGATTTTTTTTTTTCTTCATCACCGCCTACACAGCCTACGACAACTGTGAAAATGCAAAAAAAAAAAAATGTTAGGTGGTCATTTCAAAGCCCATCTTTGGGATCAACCAATGAGCTTTGAGTAAGTGAATGCACTGTAGAACGTAAATAATAATCATAACAAAAAAAAAAGTTGATTGAACTTAATTGTCAAGGCAACACACTTTGACACAATTTTAAGTTGGGCATTTGAAGAAAATACAAAAAGTTTTGCGAATATGAAAATTGCCTTCAAGATATAAGTACAAATAAATTGTTTTGGTTCTTAATAGGGTTAAGGTCAGGGATTACGGTGTTCAAACTATTATTTATTTCTCCCTTGGTACCCACAGTAGCTAAAAGCTTCAGTGGTATTATTTCTGAGGGTGTAATTGTACATTGTCTTGCATAATAATGATTTTTACCACGGAAGCCACGGTTCAGAGGTTATGTTGAGACTTTCAGGCACAGTAAATGAGCCTTCCTTTTCACTTCCCACCATTCTAGGCCAACACATCAATCTGCCACCTCCTTGGGCAAGTTGCAACTTTCTTGGAACATGGCGCCAATGAACAACCGTTACAAATTCCGACATTCAAAGACACATTTTTTTTTTTTTTTTTGGTGGATAAAGTGGTTTTGAAAATGAGTCTCCGTGGGTTTCGGAGCTTACTGAAAATGTTTTGCCTTGTGAGCATTAGTTTGGGGGTGGCCGAAATACAACTTTATGACCGCAAGCCTCAGGGATCCTGCATCAAAAGGTTCTTGGCACTCCAGAGACAGCAGCGGCTTTAAATACCTGCTTCCTGCTCATCAGTGACTTTTTAACAGCTCTTTTCTGAATACGATGCATTTGCCAGACACAAATTCCTTCATCGGAAACAAAAAAAAAAAAAAAAATTCTTTGAACAGTATGATTTTTGTGCAATATCCATTTTTTTCATGCGTTCGGGAAAGATGCTGGACTGCTTAATGAATAACGTCGAACAAACTGTAAAATTCCTTGTAATTAGTCTCATCTGGAAAACCTGTCTGAGATTGATATCGGTGATCAAGAGAATCAAATGCAGATGTTTCCCCTCTCTTAATAAATCCCATCTGCATAATAATTTGAAACACACTTAGAAGGAGATCTCTTAAATCTTTGAATTCGTCACTTGAGATGCTCCATCTCATGTCTTCCATTTCTTTGGGATAAAACGTCCAACAAAGACTCATCTGCCTTCTTCCCGCACTCCATCTCACCAATTGCCATAAATACCATGCGGCTCACAGACAAATATACAAACAGATGTTTGATCTAAAAATACTCTTTGTCTGTATTTGAGCTATTTTGAATGGACCTTTTCATGTCATCGGCAGATGTCTATGAAGATCTGATCGGACTGTACCTGCAGTACTTTGGAATAAGTATGCATCCTGGAATGGTTTTTGTTTCCCAATACCGTCGTATTTAATACCCAAGGTGTGAAGAAGTAAAATATGTTCAAGTCTCGAGTTAGCTCAACTGTGTCCATAACGTGGCTTTGTTGCGCTTTACTTTGGAGTCAGCTAATCCTCCATGAAGTGTCTCCAGTTGGTCCAAAATGCTGCCGCTCGCGTCTTAACTGGGACCCGTAAGAGGGAGCGTGTAACTCCTACTCTGGCATCCCTTCACTGGGTTCTTTTCCGTTGCTGGTCCCTCTCTTTGGAATGACCTCCCGCTGAACGTTCGGCAAGAAAACTCGCCTTACAACTGATTTTTATTCTTTGGCCTTTGACTCTGCATGAGACCTGATTTTTAGTTTTACTGTTATTTTTTTGTGCGTTCTATTGTCTTTTTTATTAGTTTATTGCTTTAGTGTTTGTCGTTGTATGAATTACATTTGCCCCATGTATAGCAGTTTCACTGTCCATCTTCTAAAACTCGCCTTACAACAGATTTTTATTCTTTGGCCTTTGACTCAGCATGAGACCTGATTTTTAGTTTTACTGTTTTTTTTTGTGCGTTCTATTGTCTTTTTTATTAGTTTATTGCTTTAGTGTTTGTCGTTGTATGAATTACATTTGCCCCATGTATAGCAGTTTGTATACAGCGTTGGTGGGTTATAAGCACTCTAAAAATCCAGCTGAGTTGATTGATTGCGAGATGCCAACTGGAGATAATATGATTGGCATTCTGCAATGATATCATCAGAGAGATTTGTTTTCAATTTTGCCGTAGGATGAGACAAATGTGCACAGTGTTCGGTAGAATTGAAAATCCAATTTTTTTTTTCTTTTAATCATCACACGTATATTGTGCATTGACACAGTATAACTAGAGTCAGTGATAAAATCGGAATTGCGCAATTTCCTATGCTTAAGATAACAGTGCCCCAAATTCATCACTCATCGCATAGACACACGCACACACGCAAAAGAAAATGCAGCATCATTGAGGCTGCTCCTCTCCTCGCAGTTATGACAAGTTTATCAGGTCAAGGAAGTAGAACAATTTCTCCAGAAAGAGGACATGGTTGGGTGGTAAAAGAACAACTTGTTATAAATGCGTCACAACGGCAACTTTTTTTTGGCACTCATTTCTATCCTTAATGGAGTTGTAAACAGCTGGAATTGGAAAGCATTACTCAGCGTTCACATGATATCGTGAATGGAGTAAGTGTTTGTGTGTAAAGCAGGAGGAGGTGGGGGGGGGGCATCTTGGCCATCCCCTGATTGACCCTCATTCACCCCAACTCACTCTCCCCATCCTGAGTGAGTCTTACCCTACACATGTTTGCAGCTGTCAGCTGGCAAGTGTTTGTGTGGCTGTGTGTTCTTCGTGTACTGTATCAATGTGTGTGTGTGTGTGTGAGACAAAGATCATTTTTCATCATCCAATGCATGACATTAATAGAAATGACACAATATTTGGACACTCTCTCTCTCTCTCTCTCTCTCTCTCTCTCTCTCTCTCTCTCTCTCTCTCTCTCTCATGAGCAGCAGCCAAAAGGCTGACACGCAGTTCGCGTCAATAATGCTACAGTGGCGATTGATTGTTGATGTTTCCTATAATATCTTGTATGCTATCTGATAGCAGGTAATTGTATAGCGAGAGAACCAGATTGAAATTGCACCTGTTTGTTAGTCTGACATCAACGTGATGATGCCTCTGGTGACAACATCTGCTGGTCACATGAGAGACTTGTTAGCTCAGTCCATTGAGAGACAATTGGCTCCCGATTGCATCTATGTCCTCTTTTTTTTTTCTTTGTGCGCAAACTCAAAAACACAATGGAGCATCAAATTGTGCAAACTCAACTTTTTTTTTTTCCTCCATGAATAATTCTTAATAACCCTTTCCTCCCCTTTTCTTTCTAGCTTCGGCTCCAAAGTTAAAACCAATGAAGAATCCATCAATTGTGGACGAGGGAAGCAAGTTCACAGTCAAATGCGAGGCCTCGGGGAACCCTCTGCCGACCTACCGGTGGTTCAAAGATGGCAACGAGCTGAAGAAAAGCAAAAAAATTCGAATAAAGAACAGCCAGTGAGTACACCCCCCCCCCACACACACAAACGTACTAATAAACTGTCAACACTAAACACTAAAATAAAAGTCGTCTTAACACTACCAGAAGGGTGCAAGTGAATATTTATCTTTATCTGTAAGCCATTTATTTTTCAAAATAATTTAAGATGCGTTGCAAATTATAATTAAATTATTCCGGGATCATGGTTTGTGGTGTATTTCCGGTTGCAACTATTACTATAAGCGCTTATAAAAAATACATTTGCAAGAAGTCAATCACTCACTATTTGTTGGTTGTCATTGGAGGTCAATATGCTTTTGGTTGCAGTACCACACTTCGCCACCCGGTAAAAGAGGCAGCACTGTGCCCTGTTTTTAATCATTCCTGCTCCTTTTTCCACGCTGTCTTTACTTTGGCTGTTGACCATGTAATTAAAATTGCTGACTCCAGCAGAGCATGTGAGTAAAGTGCAACAAGAAAACAGAATCTTGGAACACATCGATTCATTTAAGGGTCCCTTGTTGTCACCGTGGCCGTTTATGAGCCAAATTACAAGCAGCGTTATTAAAAAAACACCACGAGACATTTGACATGGCTTCATGAAACCACATTGAACTCTGTACAATATCCCGAGTGGTTTTATTATTCCAGCATCCTATCAAAGCAGAGGCCTGTTGCCATGCGGCCGCTCGTCCTGTTGTCTGCCTCGCTGTCTCCCGTGTTTCCACTCTATGCGTTTCCATGTTGCTTCCTCTCGGGCCGGGTTCCCCTGACTCAGCTGTGCGAGTGTTGTCTCCCACAGGAAAAACTCCAGACTCCAGATCAGCAGAGCAAAACTGGAGGATTCTGGGAATTACACTTGTGTGGTGGAGAACCTGCTGGGAAAGGACAACTCCACTGGCACGATAAACGTCCAAAGCAGTGAGTACCGAGTGAAAGCACTGGCATTGTTATTCATTGGCACATTGCTTGTGACTGTTCTCCGGCCAAGCAAAAGATCCATCGTGGGCATGCACAAGTGGAAACATGCATGAACAACAACTGTCCACTTTATGTTTGGGGTTTTGCAGAGTTTTTAATATGATTTCTCTTCAGCAGTCTGCATTTGGCTCGTGACACGAGACCATAACATGGTACGCAATCAAAAACACAGCACACAATAGACCTGTAAAAAGTTTCACTTTTTGATCGAATTAAATACACGCTAGTGCTGCTTTTTGGAAAGTGCCGTGGCCGGTGAAAGACTTTTGAGAACAGCTGCTTCCATTTGGTGGGGTGGTGAGTTCATGTTGGTTCCGAGCGCCGCTTCGACTGTGTGTGGCTAGTGCCGCTGGTTGCGTGGTTCCAAATGGAAGTGAACAGAAAAAAAATCTTGAGAAAGAGCGGACACGAGTCATGTGCTTTTGCTTCTATCTGAGCAAGGAAGTGACGTTATCTTGTCTGAGTGGCAAAAATCCGCAGCTTGTCTGGAGTGCAGACTCGAGCTCGAAATCTCACATCTTCCCCACTGCTCGATACTAAAAAAAAAAAAAAAACCCTCTACATCCACTCATAATGGTGTTATACAGACACAAGAACAACATACGTACTGTATGTCTGCCACTGAAACCAATTTAACATTTTATATGTGGCAGTAACAGCATTGCACATGTTCTACTGCTAATTAACATTTTTAAACAATAAAAAAAGAACACGCAGTTGATCATCTCAACCTAAAACAATGAGGATTACACATTGTTTCATTCAACCAGCCAACTGACGTTGCCTGAAGAGTGGCCCCCGCTTGCTTAATGCTAATATATCATGCAAAATGCCATGGCTATGCTAACAGTTGATATCATCGACAGTTGTAGTGTTACAGCCTTTGCAAGATAACAGATATTTGAAGACGAATGAGAAAAAGGATACATGGATCTCTAAATTTGAAACATTTCTCTCATAAAATGATGACTATATTCATGTCAAACTTCTATTCCTGTAGCATTGCAGATTTTCATTTTATTTCGTTTTTTTTTTTTTTTTCAAGTCTGGCTTTAATAGTCCCTCATACACATATATACATTTTAAAAAAGAACATTGTTGTGGGTGTGGAGATAGCCGCTGCTTGATGTCTTGGAAGGAATGTAAATTCCTACCGGTATGCCCGAGTTCACCTGGCTGTAAAAATGTCTCAGGATTTTGACGCTGTGCAGAAAAAGAGGCCGTGACGTTAGGCAGCGAGCGGATTGTGTTTTGCTTTTATTACTTTTTCAATTGAGCGTGGATGATGACACAGCCGCGCTACTACCGGCGAAACATTTGAATCGTTTTGTACATTTCTTTGACGGCGGGGTGGGCGGAAGTGGGGGTGGGGGGGTGAGCGCGCTGCTCTTTCCACACCGAGGTGGAGATATCGTCACTCTCGTTGCTGACATTGGCAAGGGGTTTATATCTGTAGACATCCCACTCTGGCTTAAGGGGGCGAACTGCGGCCCCCCGAGGAGTGAAAAAAGAGGCGCATGGAATCCAGCCGTCACTCAGTGCCCTTGTATGCTCGTTGAGGCACGGCACTCACTCACCCTTCTCTCTTTACATCCGTCACGATGGCCCGTTATTGTTTACAGTCAGTCAGCGCCACTGGAGAAGCAGATCTTTGCAAATAACATAAAATGATGACTATATTCATGTCAAACTTCTATTCCTGTAGCATTGCAGATTTTCATTTTATTTCGTTTTTTTTTTTTTTTTTCAAGTCTGGCTTTAATAGTCCCTCATACTCATATATACATTTTAAAAAAGAACATTGTTGTGGGTGTGGAGATAGCCGCTGCTTGATGTCTTGGAAGGAATGTAAATTCCTACCGGTATGCCCGAGTTCACCTGGCTGTAAAAATGTCTCAGGATTTTGACGCTGTGCAGAAAAAGAGGCCGTGACGTTAGGCAGCGAGCGGATTGTGTTTTGCTTTTATTACTTTTTCAATTGAGCGTGGATGATGACACAGCCGCGCTACTACCGGCGAAACATTTGAATCGTTTTGTACATTTCTTTGACGGCGGGGGGGGCGGAAGTGGGGGGGGGGGGGGGAGCGCGCTGCTCTTTCCACACCGAGGGGGAGATATCGTCACTCTCGTTGCTGACATTGGCAAGGGGTTTATATCTGTAGACATCCCACTCTGGCTTAAGGGGGCGAACTGCGGCCCCCCGAGGAGTGAAAAAAGAGGCGCATGGAATCCAGCCGTCACTCAGTGCCCTTGTATGCTCGTTGAGGCACGGCACTCACTCACCCTTCTCTCTTTACATCCGTCACGATGGCCCGTTATTGTTTACAGTCAGTCAGCGCCACTGGAGAAGCAGATCTTTGCAAATAATGAAAAGGCCCTTTGTGCTAGCAAAAAAACCAACATGCTGGTCCAATTGCTAGCGCAGATAAGAAGCCAACCGCATCCAGTTGAGATTCCCATCCAGATTATGTGCCTTGTGCTGACACGGAAACGTTACATAGCCTTTGAAAATTTTTTTGTTTCTTCTTTTTATGCAATATTCAAAGATGGGGCCGGCTCGCATTTTTGGTGTGAACCGTCAAAGATAGGTGGAATGCTGCAGTACAACCTGCAGAGGTCAGGGGAATCCCATGTGACAGCACCCGTTTCCCTAAATGGTTTTCTTTTGAAGACTTAGCAACATGCGAATCCATCCAATGACCTGCAAATATTGTATTACAAAGTAAGCAGGCGTGGAGCACAGCGGATAGTTACAATGCATCAGCGTGAACCCCTTTGAACGTAAAACCTGACTCGTTAATTTCAGTGACACTCCGACCAGCATTCTGCAACTGAGACAAAAAAACAGTGGGTAGTTTCACCGTAAAAATGTATACTAATGTTTGGTAATTTCATCACATTATGCGTGTAGTTGTTGTGTTGTCAAGTTTAAACATGTCCACTCTGTCATCAGGAAATATCAATTGCGTAAAAACTCACAAATTCACAATACATTTGTTCAGTAGTGCACAGTCATCTTAGTCAGTGGAGCTTCTCAGGTCTACCGTGTGCTCGTTAAATGCTGACATTTGCCCAAAATGTCCACACTGTCATTGTCCACTATGTCAGCAAGCTCACATATTTTTCTCTTTCCATGCACATTGTCTGTTTGCAGTTAAAAAAAATAGTTTGATCAATATGCATGCATTTTGAACAGGGTAGCATGTACTTTGCTATACCCTATACCTATATCATCGTTTCTCTGCAAAGGCAAAACACACTTGACGAGTTAATCTTATAATTGCCGAGACATAAAGACTCACGCGTTGTCATTCATTCATGACCTTCAGATTTGTGTGCTACCTTAAAGGCATATTTTTTCACAGGAATTTGTTCCAATTCCAACTCTTGTCAAATTCCACTGTAGCTGTTCCGCTTTATCTGTCGACGTCATCGCACTACACGATGCCATTTTGCAAAGGAGGAACCATTTTCAATACAGGGTAGAGGGCTAAAAATATCTTGGAAACGTAACGAAACGATGTGCAAGTGTACTTTATCGACGGGTGAAATGTATAACTTCAGCTGCTTCTTGCATGCGTTTGCGCCATTTTAGGTGTGCAAAAGGGTAAATGCAACAATATAGTGGAGGAGCAGACTGTTAGCGTTTCATGCAATCGCTTCAGGGTTTTCAAACAATGGCATCAGTGTATGGCCCCATCTTATGTAGTGACCCCGGGGTGTCTGCCTGTCTATGTGTGTGCGTGTTTGTTTGCAAGTCCCATTGTGCTACACCGGCACGTCTTGTTCCGTCATGCTTCAGGAAAAAAGGCAAGACGGGGCGAATCAGGGGTGGTATGTCCATCGGTGGGGGTGGGGGCGGAGGTATTT